AGATTCTCATGCATGAGCTACAAGCCACAAAGATACTCCTATACCATACGGTACCGATTAGACAAGACAAGATAATGCATACTTTGGTCTCAAAATAAGTGTCGTGATTTTACTTTAATTTTGTTTAAATCTAAACTCAGAATACAACCGTTATTTTGGGATGAAGGAAGTACATACTTAAGAAAATAAGTTCTATATGCACACAGCGGCAAGATAAATTAACTCGCAATGGAGACTAGGATGCCGCTTGACGGGTCGGAGGGGGAGATTTTGCGGCCCTTTTGGTTGCTCGGCATCGTGGCAGCATACAGCAGGGCCAGCAGCGGCTCGCCATGTGTGGCCGCACGGCACCGACAAACATCCATGGCGTCCTTGAAGAGAGAACCCACGACCATAAACGCATGTACCATACTGGGCACACAAGCCACACTCAATGGGAGGACCACGACGATGACCTGCTGAACTAAACATTAAAACAGAGCTAGCTATGCCTTCTCACAGCGATTTTGGGTCCTAAGCCGTCCGATTAGGCACACGAACGCATCAGATGATTCTATCGTCCCGCAGCATTCTCTGGGCCTCGTCCGCCTCATCCGCTTGCACAAGCTGACAAACCAACACGTTAAAAGCGCTGCTGCTCCACAGGTTTTTCTAGGCACCTTCTCATGAACCGGGCTGTTGGGCCGCGATCTTCGTGGAGCGATTGGGCCAGCTGATCTGTGGTGCTATTCTCTAAAAAACAAAAGTATGTGGCGCTGCAGCCTGTGTTTGCTTGATTAATTTGCTGTTTCTTAATGGTGCACAAGGTGGCCGGCTGTTGCTTTCCCGAGTTCCGTCACCGTCCGGTTATAAGTGGACGGGAGTATTTGGCTACATATAGTTTCATTGCATCATTCTTTATTCATTTGCTTCCTTTGTGCAGCATCTAAGATGTCAAGGCTACGGACGATATCGAGACATGCTCCACCACTTACTCCAATGTCTTACCAAATGAATGCCAAACAAACTTTTTTGTACTATGACATTCAAATGCTAATTTAGATGGCAGTGTCACCTGTGTCAATTTTAAAACCCGTATACCCCACCATAAGTATATTGATGTACTATTCCCTCAAAAAAGTATATTGATGTACTTTACAAAATGCTCCTTTTCTTTCTCTTATTGTGTGATGTCCAAATTTTCTCATATAATTGAATTTTTTCCTATTATTCCCATAAAATATACGGGCGCAACAACGCGCGCTTTTATGTTCTAGTGGTCATTCATATAATAATACATCCTATCTTGTTGGCTATTAGTAGTACTTTTTTTACCTTCTCTCGTTCTCTTTTAGTTATTGTATTTGCTTTGAAATACTTATATAGCTAGGCTCTTGCATGAGAGTCCACTTCCTTTTATTTTTTCATCTCTCTACTCCATATAGGCAAAAGTGCCATGTAAGCAGGCTATAAACCCACTATTGTACTTGATCTTAGGAGACCATATCATAGTAAATAATATGCCGCACGGCACTAACGAACATCCATGTCGTCCTCTAAGAGAGAACCCACGACCATAAGCGCACGAATCATACCGGGCACACACGCCACACTCAATGGGAGGACCACGATGTCGACCTGCTGAATTATTGCACTAGTATATGTACGTACATTTAGAGAAATTAAAAAGAGATCTTTAGGCTGCTTGTAATGAGAGCATTATAGGTATCATGCATGCTAACTAGATAATTTAATAAGGTGATATTGAATTAAATGAGGAAAAATGAATAGAGTATCGTATCAGAGCACGACTAATAGTATAGCTAGTTAGCTAGCTGATGGCTACATGAAGCTGTCATGCCATTTATAGCTGTCATCTAGGGTCATTCATATAATAATACGGCCTATCTGGCTATTAGTAGTACCTTTTTTTTACCTTCTCTCGTTCTCTTTATTTATAATTATTGTATTTGCTTTGAAATACTTATATAGCTAGGCTCTTGCATGAAAGTCCATTTCTTTTATTTTTTTCATCTCTCTACTCCATATAGGCAAAAGTGCCATGTAAGCAGGCTATAAACCCACTATTGTACTTGCTCTCAGGAGACCATATCATAGTAAATAATATGCCGCACGGCACCGACGAACATCCATGGCATCGTCGAAGAGAGAACCCACGGCCATAAATGCATGAATCATACCAGGCACACACGCCACACTCAATGAGAGGACCACGACAACGACCTAATGAATTATTGTACTAGTACACGTACGTACATTTAGAAAAAATAAAAAGAGATTCTTAGGCTGCTTGTAATGGAGTATTGTAGGTATCATGTATGTTAACTAGATAGCTTAATGAGGTGATATGGAATTAAATAAAAGAAAGAGGGTTGAGT